AGAGGGAAGAGAAGGGAAGGTCAGGTTTCTCACTGTCCACTTTTCTAATGTCTGATATTTAGCAATTTTACCCCTAAAAATAGCATACCTTAAAACAATATTTTTTTATCATATATACTGTGGGGGGAAACAAATAATTTTTTTTTTAATTTATTGTATTTCCATGTAATGAATAAACATTTTTTATATAATTAACTGTACATAGCATAATAACAAAGTATGCATTGAAAACGGAATAAATTTTTACTTAATAGAAATAAAGCCCATTTATTCATTTGAATGGATGAAAAAAAAAAAAATATATATATTATATATGTGCGTGCATATATGTGTGCAAAGATATAGAAAAATGTGTGTGAGTGTGTGCAGAGGAATGGAGAAATCTGTTAAAATTTATTTTTATATTAGAGAGAAAAACCAGTATTAAAAATTTGCTATATTTATGAGTGAAGAGTGTTCAGTATCCAGGATAAAGCATTTGTAGATGTGGATAGAGAAACCAAGACTGTCTGGTGACTGCTGTGTTTCTCTCTCTCTCTCTATATATATATATATATATATATATATATATATATATATATATATATATAGTTTATGAAAAACTAGGTAATCTGTATGGGTAAACCTAAGGAGGATAAAATCCAGAGAGCTCAATGTAAATACAGAGCAAATAATTTAAATAAAAAACAGACCACTTTAAGGTTTCATGTAATAAATTATTTCACCACAGCCCTTTTAAAGGACTGCGGATCATCAGACTTTACTTCCAAACAAAAATGAAAAGAAAATTTACACATTTTTGATGGGCCGTATTAAACATATGTAAATTAACTAAGTGAATGGGGAGAGAGAAGACATGAGTGAGATATATATATATATATATATATATATATATATATATATCTATCCATGTAAAATGAGGATGAAGAGAGTCCAATTCTGAGGTTCGTAAAATTCAATTTAAAAGAGGGCTCAATACAAAAGTAGAGGAATATTCTTTATTTTACCAAGTATCTTGTTAAATATATTTACTGAAAAAAAAGTTTGAACAAAGTAACTACAAAAATTTCTTTTTTTTAATTTTGCTATCCTTTACCAGCTGCAATGATGGAGAAAGCATTACCTCGCACCATCGCCTGTGAGACACGCTGCAAGAGCCACTCCATTTCGCGAAGCTCATCACTTAATTGAGACCTAATCGCACCAACCCTCTGAAGGAACGTCATCGAACGAGGTCCAATAACCCCAGAAGTCTCCACTGCCACAGGAGTAAAAAAAAAAAAATCTATCAGCAAGAGAAGAATATTTAACTATTTTTTTTTTATCTCTGCATCCCATCTTATTAAATTACCTTTCATCTTTCATAGGAAATGACATCCTCTAATTTATAATACTACAGCTATTTTACATCTGAACCATATACGATGACTGGATGTAATCTACAATTCTAAATCTGCAGCTTATGATATCTTATGTAAGATTGCTCCTTAACTTTCGTTTTTTCCCCCCTTACTTTGAACTTAGTGTAAGCCATTCCGATTGGTTGATCTGAATAAAAACAAAACAAACCCTACAACCATCTCCTCTCTTTTCTTTCTTACTCTTTTTCTTCTTCTTCCTTTTTCTCATGAAAAGAGGATGTATCTTGTTTTTAAATCTCAATAAATTGTCTACTCACCAGTTATTTACTAATGCCTGATGAGATGTGTCAATAATGCACCAAAACATGATTGCATTTGTGTAACATTTTTTTTATGTCTTTGATGTAATATCCTAAAATAAATATATATATATATATATATATATATATATATATATATATATATATATACACACACACACACACACACGTTTATTAAATAATATAGACAAGTGTTGTCTATTTATTTTATGTAAATTCTTTTCATTCTAATAAATTTAATAACATTATCATTGAACGAAGAAAGAAATTCACAATATTGATCCATATTTTTGAATACAATCTAATCTTCAGCTTACATAAGCCATTATCAAAGATGTCAATTACAACATATTAAGCAATATACGGACAAGACATTGATGATAGTCTGTGATGGTTTACATAGAGGATTTCTAAGCAACGATAAACACGTGCATATAAGACACTGCTTTTTTTTAAAATCGCACTGCATCTCATGACAGCACACATGACCACGCCGAGAGTGAATTGAGAAGTATGAAGTATGGGAAGCCATTTGTATGTATATATATATATATATATATATATATATATATATATCAGGTGGTATTAAAGTTAGCTCCTGCAGAGGGCTCTTGATTGGGCTTTCAGCTTGTTCAGGAGTTTGAGTTTTTGCAAATTCTCAGCATTGGAAGCTCTCCTGGCTACCATCTAATCTAGGTTTTCATTTGCACAGAACTTTCTTTTCCTCACTGCAGCCTTGGCTCTTTTGATTGCAATCTGGTCTTCTGTTGGTGGATATTTCTTTTCACGAGACATACTGCTGCCGTATGCGATAGGCAACAATAAATTACACAAAAACTCAAAACTGATCACTGCATTTAAGTATTGCATTAACACATAAGCTTACCTTTTAAAAGTTCAACAATAATTCTTCTGCCACCATTTAATTTAAAGAATATTTGATATGTACAGGTCTTTCCATACGCACAATTATTTTTATTTCATGGGTGACTTTTGCTGGATTTTGCAATTAATTTCAATTATTCCCAAATTTATTTCCGAGTTATAAAAATTATTATTGTACAAAAAACTTGTCCCCAAAAATTACATTAAAAAAAAAGAAAAAAAAAAAAAGATCACTGAAAACAATCACAGTAATGAAACTTTGGGAATCCAAACTTTCTGTAACATGAGCTATTGAAAGTTAGAGACTTGTGCCCCTTTAATTGAAAAAATTAGACACAGTCACACACTAAAATTCCTATTTTATATATATATATATATATATATATATATGTGTGTGTGTGTGTGTGTATATATATATATATATATATATATATATATATATATATATAATTATTTTTAAAAAAAAATTATAACAAAAAATTTATATATATAAATATATATATATATATATATATATATATATATAAAAATAAAATAGATAGGTTGGCTAATAAAACAAGGGCAAAGGAAAGGCTACCAATGTGATCAGGACAAAAAATATTTATTGAATATTAACTATTAACCACAAGACAACAATGGGGCATGGAAATTAATGTTTTAAGTCCAGAATTTTCAGGCATGCCTGTGTCCTTCATCAGCAGTGCGAGAAATAAACAGAGAAACAGAGAAGACTCACCAACTGTTGTCCTCGTAACTGATGTGACTGGCATGTATATCTCATTGAATAATATAGACATATTATGTCTATTTATTTTTATAATAATCCTTTCCAATTCTTTATCAATTTCTTGATGCCAAGATGAAATTCATCAAGGAAGGTAGCATAGTTTTTTCCTACACAAGTACTTTCAATCTTCTGAGAGATAATCCTCAGAGGTGAATTACAAAGACAAACTTATTGTAAATGTGATCGTTGTGATGGTGATTTTTAAAAAAATATGCATGAACGCACTATGTTATAATTATTTTCAAATTTTAAATTTATCTATTGTAACTATGGAATATTTGCAAAACAAGCACTCCAATATAAGGTAGCTAACAAGAAATTGGTAGAAATGCAAAATAGCATTAAATGTTTGATAAATGCACTTCAGCATGTTGCTACTACACTCGTAATAAATTTTGTTGCGTTGCTTTCGGTTATAAATAATAAATTTTGTTGGTTGCATTTAATATAGAGGACCTCACGAATTTGTAGTTTTTGTTTATTATTTTCATGGTGTAGTATACTGGTGTTGTCAACAAGTATTGAACAACATTTAAAAACACATTCCTGTCCACCTTCACAATACAGGAAAATACTTGTCACAGTACTGTTTACATATTTTTGGAACCTGTGCACCTATCTGTATAGGTATTTATAGAATGTAGGGTTGTCAACAAGAACATCCCAAGATGGAAATTATGAATTGGAGACACCAAAAATGAAAATGTTAATATCTTGGAGAGGACAGAAAATGTGACGGCACATTGGGATAGTAAAAGATGCCTTCCAAACGGTAAACAAAGTATTAAGAAACAGGAAGATTTGTTAGAAACTAAAATAAATACTGAACTGTTATGTAATATCGGTCCACTTATATAGCGGTGAATGCTAGACAATCTCCTCACAGATGATGTGGAGACATGAGACAAGAGAAATGTGGTTCTACAGAAGGATACTGAGAATACAATGGACTGAACATATGAGCAACAACTACGTTTTAAAGAAAATAGAAATAAAAAATATATATACTAAGAATCAGAATGAGAGTGTTGAAATTTCTAAGGCACATAATGAGGAAAGAAGGCTTGGAGAATTTGAATGAGTTTGTGTAAACCATTGACAGAACAGAGATTAAGTAAGATAGCAAAAAGACAAACACTGCTAAGAGCTACAAAGGACAGGAAGTTGTGGATAACTTATGATTGCTTATGACAAATAGAACAAGAAACAAAACTTGGCTGGTTAGAGTTGAAGACAATATGAAAACAAAAAATACATCAGCTGAATTTCAGTGATAAAACCAACAAAGAAAATATCAGGTCAAACAACTTGAAAATGAAATTGTAGTTCTCAATTTATAAGTCAAGTAGTGATTTATTCCCAAGATAAAGTCTTCGTCCTCAGACAGATTTAAGTGAAATTAATAAATCATAAATAACTTTATCACTTTCTTTTAAAATTGAAAAAAATAAAAAAATTATTTCTTTACTCTACTTTTTTCACACTATCTGCATGACTTTGTATGTGCATATTATATATATATATATGTTTGTTTGAGTGACTTACATGTGCATGTACCATTTAATATATACAAATGCAATTTGAACAGGTTTTAAATATGAAATTAGAATTCTTCTCATATGGGCTGAGCAATAAATTTTTTTGAGT